GACTATTTTCAGGGATTCTACATGTTTAGTGTGCAAAATTTGAAAACATCATTAGTGAAAGAGCAGTGTAGTGGACTATTATCCCGTTTGCAGCATATTCCCATCTTCTCATCTGGAAAATTAAATCTGATTACAGCTTGGATTAACATTTATGGTTGTGGGGAGAAGAAGATAGTATCTTAAACTCCATGAAATTAAACAATGAGATTATATCGTGTGTAGCTAATGTTAAAGTCCTGCTTTTTAAAGGGCTGATTTTGTAATTGTAAGCTTTAAATTTGTTTAATATTTTATCTCTCATTGACTGAAATATCCTAGAGATAATGATTGGATGAATTCAGTAGGCATTAAATGTAATGTTTTCTGCCTTGATACCTAGCATTTTAAAAGTGAAAGCAGTGTAGATTCCCGTGTTATCTGCTACATTTGCAGTTTCTCTTAAATCACCTAGAAGAGCTCCAGATATAGAAGATAATGACATTTGGTTAGTACGCACGCAGTTGTTATGCGTTTCATGCAAAATGAAGTCAGTATATTTTTTAATAATCAGTTTAAGAATATGTCATACTTTGACTCTTCAAATGGAGTCATTGGTGTGACAGGGAAACAGGAAAATAATTTGGTAAGATACGTGTGTCTGTGTACACACATACTAGTTACTAATGTACAAATGAGCCCTCATACATAACCACAGTACTTTTATGAATTATTTTGCATTTCTGTTGTAAAAGATCTGTCTACCACGTTTTCTAGGAACTTTAAGCCTAAGGCAGAACTCAAGGTTTTTGGAGCCTGTGTAAAATAATTTATAGCACCTTTCCACTAAGTCTTGCCCACACTCTTATTCTATTAATTAAACATCCTGTGGCAATCTGGTATATCTTAAAGATTTAAAACTATGTATAGTAGAAGACTAGAAGACATAGACTGTTGAGATGGAAGAAAACTAGCCTTTCTTTAAAAAAAGAAAAAAAGTAAGATATGTTTGTTTTGGAGATCAATTTTTTCCTGCTGTGGAGACATAGCTTTTTAAATATGGTCGTGTTCTGTGCCTGGATGATAATGTGGTTTTGGGGGTCCCGTACTGTGAGACGTCTGCTTTAAATACAGAAATGCTTCTTGTGGTCTTCAGAGACAGTGGTGCACACGTGTTTCTGTGGAGGCAGCCTCTTAGAGAGCCATGGTGCTGGGACACCACATTGCCATGGTGTGAAACCTCGTTTGAGAACGAACTGCCTCTTTTAGGCCTATTTGGTTGGTTAAGAGATATGTGGACTCTTTCGAACTATACATATTATTGGCAAGATATTTGAAATACAATTTTTTTTTGATAAAATGTCTTCCTAAGAGATGATGAAATTGATTTTTAAGTTTGTAAGGCTCTATTACTTAAATCAGGAGAAAGTTGCTGAAAGAGGAGGATAAGGAAAAAAGAGTGTGCTATGTGCCACTGTATTAATGCTCTTAATTTCTGTCAGAGGGACAATTCTTAGTGAAAAAGCTTGACATATGCCGATAACTATATTCCGACTGCCAATTGCCTAAGCAAATTAGGTTACTTTTTTCCATGGTAGTACTCTTATCTGCAGATTTTTTTGTGTTGAAAGTTAGCTGTTTGGTGACACTGCATTTGGTGGTGAGCTTATGAATGTGAGAAGGTGTTTTGGAACGTTAGCAATTATAGCACTGGATGGTGGATAATGAAATAGATATATAAATATTAGACCGATGCACAGTTTTCCAGTGTATGTTATTTTCCATATAAAGATATAGAACATTTCATAAAATGTTCCCAGACCATTTAAAACTCAAAGAAATGCAGCTGACGCAATGAAATACATAGAGTACTTGTAAAAACATACAGACACGCAAGTGGATTGCTGCCAGACAGAAAATTTAAAGGCGGTTTGCTTAACTGCAGGGTGCTAGATTTTGTACATGTGCCATGCTGAAACTGTTAGTAAGGCGGGTGTTGTGTTGCTTGAGAAAAGCAGATTGTATTTGGACCTTTTTAACTCAGATGTTTCCAATGTCGATATTTTGGTGACATTATGGCATGGTGAGTGACTCAATGTGAAAAAAGAAGATTTCAACCTCCTGTATAAAATAGACAGTTTAAGAAAATTCAAACGAATTATTTGCAGTTTTTGTGTTAATTTTTATAAAATGGCTTTCATAGTTGTTAACTATCAGACTGGATCTCTGAGCTAATTGAATGGAACTTTATAGGTTGGACTTTGGTTTTAAAAAGCATTGCCTTTTTCTTTCTTTCTTTCTTTCTTTCTTTCTTTCTTTCTTTCTTTCTTTCTTTCTTTCTTTCTTTCTTTCTTTCTTTCTTTCTTTCTTTCTTCTGTATTGCTTTAAAGAATGTTAAGGACGCATGAAGTTTATTTTTTAAACACCAGGGGCCTTAACAAAAAGCAATTAAAAGTTTTGTGCTTGAATCATAGTAAATCATAATGCATGTATTATCTTGGAGCATTATTCTGTTAAAATCTGGGAATCTCATTTTAAGGATAGCCTAAGGACAGTTGAAGGAATTTAATTGATGGTGTTTAAGTTGCCTACCATAGAGGCAGTGTTTAGGATAATATGGTTTTGAATGGCCTCCATCTTGGCATTCCATGGTCATCTTTACCTTCAGTGTGTTAAGATAGGTTGGTTTTTTTTTTTTCCAACCATTTTCCTTCTCTTTTTCAATTTTATTATATTGTATATATGAATGAAATATATTTTTAAAATATATTTTCTTGTTATAATATGTTTCTTATTAATGTAATAAACTAAAGAGATTTAAGAACCTTCTCTCACCTATGTATAAGAAACTTATTTTTTTAATTGAAGAATATACTATAAATTTTGGGTTCTGATCCTTATCCCTTCACAAAATGGCAATAGAAAAATAGTCTTTGGTTTTATTTTCATAAGTATGATGCTTCTCAAGAAACACAAACTACTGCAAGAAAGAGGGCATGATATTAAAGATTTATATGTGAGTTATTTCTGTGTGAAGTTTTTTAGTTGAAGAATAACTGTTAACCACGTGTCAATTGGAAGAAAAAGAATAAGCCTTAGGTGATTTTGTGGCTTTCCCAACCTCTTGTTTTTTTATGTCCCTTGGTGGCTTAGAGTTGTATTTTTTTGGTCTCTGGGCCAAATTTTAAGTTATTTATATATGTTTTTGGGAACTATAGCCACTGCTCTCTTTTTTCTGGCTCCCTTGTTCCCCTTCCTTCACTCCCTCTTTACCCTCCCGACCCCATTGCATACACCATTAGAGGTTTACCCTCCTGACCCCATCCCGACCCCATTAGAGGTTTGTTGGGCAACAGGCTGCCCCCCTTTGTATCCTGCTGGCAAATTCTTCTCTGTAGGCCTAGTACTTTTAGTACTTTTTCTGCCACAGTGTTGGCACCCTCTGGCCTCTGTCTCACAGGGCTGAGTCCTTGTGTGGTTTTAGCCCGCAGGCCAAATACAGGCAACAGCTTCTTCCTTTGGCCCACCAGGCAGCCCCGAATTGGTACTGTGGGCACATTACTCCAGAATTCTACTGGTCACAGTCTAGACACATCATTGGTCCCTTCCCAGTAGCTGAAGATGAGGGTAAAGAAAGATTGATCCCCAGTTTTTAAGCCAATCAGAAGAGAGCTGATAAGCTCTCTTTAAGCCAATCTCAAGAGCTAAACTGGTTTGCAGATAGTTTCACCTTTTTTGCACCGCCCATTTTGGGAAGCACTATTTTTGGTGTGGCATTTTGAATATTCCTGCCTTTGTTGGCTATCCTTGGGTTTTAATGAGTAACATCTATGGGCTTTAATGACTTGAAAACTTGTATTTCTAGGATTTAAATGTAGTATGTGAATAGGCACTTAGTATTTTCTCTTTTTGATTCTTCATGAAAGAACAATGAACTGCATTTCTGTATTGTGATTTGGAGAGTTTTAACTTTTACATGGATTCACTTGCACAGAGAAGTAAATGAGTGTTTTAGTGTGGTTTTTAAAGATAGCTATGAAAAGTAAATAGTATATATTGTGATCACTGTTAGAGGGGAGACCCTCACATACTGTGCTTTTCCATAAGCCTTTTGAATTGATACATGATTCCTCAAATAGATATTATTCTGATCACTCCTCTTACTGTGTCTCTGAGGAATCAAACCTTTTTCTTATTAGAAAAGGTTGAATGTTTTTGTAATCAATAGTAAGTGAAGTGCTAATAGCTTTTAATTAGTTCACTTCTGTATTGACTTAGAGAAGATGGCATTGGATTACCTTGCAATTATAATTGAAGAATAAAGTGATCCCTTTAGTAATTCCATTTTAAATAGATGGTCATGAAAGGTATTTTCACCTTTGTATTTTTATAGTTTCTGAGCAAGTCTAAATATATCAGATGGAATGTAATTTCTCATATATTTTGTTTACACTGACAAGCCCAAAGCATTGATTCTGTTTTGAAGAAAACTTTGTCTAGTTTTATCTGCATTTTCAAAGAATTCATAAACACATGGGGAATGATATATTTTGTTTGTAAAAGAGTGAGTTTTACATTTGTTCCTTGAAAGAATTCTTCCCTCACTCACCCTCTCTCCCCAGTGTGAAACTGGTGCTTAAGGTGGCTTATCAAGCACACATCTGTAACTATGAAAAGGAGGTTTCTGATTAGAGAAGAAAAAAGTCAAACAGGTTTAAGACTCATTTTCTCTGGAAAAATATATTGAAGGCAATTTGCAGCTGGCAAGATTTTTGCATTAGGTAATAGTCTAAAGTTAACAGTAGCATCAGGTCTTTAAAATTTTTCTTTTTTATATTTCTGGAGGAGGGTAATGGGAGTGCCTTGCCGAGTCCTTCCTTGTGCTCATCAACATAGCAGCCTCAGCTGCCCCCCTTGGATCCCCTGCCAGGGCTGCTATCATCTTCTGATCAAATATTAATGTGTGATCCTCTGCTTGCTCACTAATCCAAAGCCAATTAATATTATCTGTCAATTATTTACAGATCCTGAGGTGCAGAGGCAATTCCCGGAGGACTACAGTGACCAGGTTCGGAATGCGTAATTAATTTTTTACATGACAAAATTTATTTCAGAGTTGTTCAACATATTATTACTGTTCTTTTTACTGAAAGAGATAAATGAATTTTTAGAAGGGAAGAAAAGCAGTAATTAGGAACCAAAGACAAAAAGTAAAACATATTGAATTAGGATTGAAAAATATTGGTGCTACATTTGGGGTATTATCTTAGGGGTAAAATGCACAGAAAGTAAGGAAGAAAACCTGTCACAAATTTTACTTCTTACTTTGAGGTGTGTTACAGTCTGCAGTTCATTAGGAAATCCTTTTTGGATTGCCTGTAAACTTTTAATTTTTTTTAATGCTATTTAAACAGTCAAGAAGCAGTGTAATAAAAAAAGGAAGGAGGAGGGAACTTTATAACATTTCCTGGAATTTGAAATAGATAATGAACTATGTGTTTTGGTAATACTGAAAGGAGAAGCTACACATGCAGGGATGGTCTTTAGGGTGAGGGTGGTTCTGATGATGCTAGTGAAAGTTAGCCGGTTGGTTCTGCCACCTCAAATTTCGGGCATTCTGCAAGCATAGGATGGAGTGGAAGGAACTATTTTACTCACAAAATAGTACTGAAGTTCTGATGTTACTCTACTCTTTATAATTAGTTCTAGGTTATACATTCAGGATTCCAGTTTCTATCTTGAGAAATATTGGAGATGTTTTGTAGCTTTTTTTGGGTACCTTACATTTTTAGTTCAAATATGTAATTTGGTGTACTTTTTTAAGAGCAGTTTTGAAATAAAAAACATTTTTTGGTTATACTGCGTAAGACAATTTTATAAAACCTTTCACATGTGGGATATTGTACACGAAAACAGCATGTTTCTGAAGTACATCCATTTAATTTTTTCTGTTAAAAATCTTTGAATCAGGATGAAATGGAATAGAAATACCCACTACAGTAGTAGTAACACCTTTGCAGTGTGGCCTCCTGTATAAAGAGTAAGGTATCTGATACATCTTTATGAATAAAGGGGACAGAATGTGACCAGGAATATAACTGGATAATCAGTATAATGAAATGCTTTGTAATGAAATTTTATGGTATAAGAACCCAAGAGAACTGATGTGGTTTGCTTTGTGTCTGATCTCAAGACTTTTAAATAAGATTTAAAAAAGTACTAGAATCTATCTACTCTACCCCTTCATGTTCTACCAAGAGAGTTAAATTTTTATTTTGTCTTAAATTACTACAGGATTGAGCCCTTTGGATTTAAACTACACAAGCCACAGATTATAGGACCTTTTCATTAATGATTTTTTTCTTTAAACAATACCTATAGGGTAGAAGATCTTAAAGTATTGTTTAGAATACACTGGAGGGTATTGCTTTTAACAAAATTTTTGTTCTAAAATCTTGTGTCTAGGTAAATAACCTTTCTGGTCCCATGATCTGAATTACCTAGTGAGAGAAAATTCTATAGGAGAAAACTTAAAATGACATAGTTACCATCTGGGTCTGTTCCTTTAAACAGAGTTTCTTACTATATCTGAAAGTTTTTTAACAACATGATTTCTTTTTTAGGGTAACTTTTAAAAACTGGATGGGTAATATGTTTATGACAAAAAATGTAGAAAACATAGATAAAGCAAGAATAAATTTTTAAAAAATGAAAAGAAAGAAAATATAAGTCATCTGTTATTTTACTACTCAAAGATAATTACTGTAACAATTTGGTGTTTCTCTTTCCATGTTTATTTCTGAGTGTACATGTAAGTTTGTGTGTTTGAGGAGAGTATATATGTATGTGTATGTTTGCATACATGTACTGTACATGCATATGTGTGTACAGAGAACAATATAGACTATTATCAATTCTGTCATTGCATATGGAGCTGGTTTATTGATAGATATTATGTTATGAACTTCTATAGTTTGGTTAATGGATGGCTTTATAAGTATTTCATATATTGAAACTGGAATAATTAAAATGATAATATGAACCTAAACAGTAATGATAGCTTTAGTTATTTTAAAGGTGCACATATGATAGTAGTATTTGTTTTCTTTGTTTAGATCAGAGACATAGTTTTGAAATTTGGAAAATGTTATTCAAGGGCTAGAGGTAAACTTCTAAGACTGTGGTTATCTCTGCCTGATTTAGCATCTCCTTTGACTTGACACAAATTATTTATTTCCCTTTTTCACTTCACATAACTCAAGAAATGATTAATGAAGGATGTGCTTTGTTTTTGTACACATACCTCTAAATTCCCAGAAATTTGAGAGTTGTACGTACTGGTAAAGAGAATGAGAACTGAGTGTTTCTTATTTATCTTTTTATCATTTAGGTTCTAATCTTATATTTTTCTTCTTTGCATTTATTAGATTAAACCAAATTATCTTTTCCTGTGGTATACCTATTATAAAGGAAGTCTTAGAAATATTTCCATTATATACAAACCTTAAAAGCTGAGTATGCACTTAATCTAGACAACATTTCTAGTATTAAAACATTTATGTTGTAATCCATAAGGAACATTTGCGATAATTCATCATAAAGTAAAAGCACTTATTACCATACATGTGCGCGTGTGCTCGCGCACACACACGCACGCACATGCACACACACACACAAATTCCCTCCCAGTTTTTCTTCTCATTCGCCTAAACTATCAGTGCTTGTTTTTACATATAGTGTATTTCCCATGTACCAGCACACTTGATCAGAGACGCTTGCTGCTGCTAGATGTTTTATTCTGTGTGTTCTTTGTACCTTACAGTAAAAGAATCTGTCACAAATTATTGTGGCTCACTGCTTTAGAAACTGAGAAAAAAGGGAGGTTAGATTGACATCTGTGACTGAATAATGATGACCAGCCTTTTGGCTCTCCTTGAGCCACAAAGCTAGCACTGCCTTTAGAGTGGAAAAAGAAGTAAGAAGAAAGGGGAGGGATAAAAGAGAGTTACAAATCTGTGGTCCCGGAGATGTATTACTGTTGGGCCAGTTGTCTGCGTGGTATGATAATCCATTTTGATCTTCTCTGTCTTAATTGTCTGCTAAAGACAAATGGGCAGTAAAAGTTCATCAGTTTCATCTTTTTTGCTTCTCGTTTAGAAGCAGAATAAATGATCCATCACTACAGAAGAAGCCTTTCTTTCTGTCACGGAAGTAATGCAGACCCAACACGTTTTATTAAAATGTTTTCCCCTCATTATTTCAGTCCTCTCAGCTCTGATAGATCTTACTGTTTCATAAAAAATGTAATCTGAAATGTAAATAAGGGTCTTGATACAGAAGGAAGAAGTAATGAGCAGCCTGAGCCACATTTTAGGACTCTTGATTGTAATTACTGACAAAGTGATTTCTCTGTGCCCCATTTTTTTTCCTCCTTAAGTTGTCTGTGACACCCTCAGACCACAATGACATCTATGGTTTAAAACCATTAAATCACTGTAGCACTCAATATTTCATTTAAAAATCTGGTAAGCCTGCTATCTTTAAACCTGAAAATACAGGCTTTGTTAATTCCTGAAAGACATGCAATGCCTATATTTTTTAAAAGAAAGAAAAAACAAACAACAAAAAAGGCAAAAACAAGGTCTTTTCAGGGTTCATATTATTTATTCATCTGCTTTTGTTTAATGTTTAGCTAGTTTAAATACTAAACCATCAACATTAGGACCTTGACTTGAAAAAAATCTGTATTTTTGAAAGACCTTTTAACAGCTAACTTACGAAATTTTCTTAAATTATATCTCTCCTAACTATAATATGAAATAGTCTAAAATTTCTTTTTAGGGTTAAGATTACTAAATTACAGATATAATTTTCGAGTTACTATAGGTTTGGGTAGCTTAGACTAGATTCTTTCCAATTTCTTACTATATAACTCTATGTAATATGGCTCTTAATAAAAGACTGTCCCATAGAAAAATTTTGTTAAAGAAGGACATAAGCATAATGTATTAGGTTATTAAATATGAAATGTCCGATTTCCTTAAGTACTAAGTTTGACAGTTGAATTCTCTGACATTTCACTTTGACATTTCTTATTTTATTTTTATTGTGAAGGTACATCCTCAGTCTTTCAAACACATGTTTTGGCTTATGATTATCTTTCAAGTTTTTTTTTTTTAGAGCAATTTTTGTGAAACCATAGATAAATCAAAAATTCGTGTTATTTTCAAATATGAGTTCTGTTGTGGAACCAGTGTTGCACCGACAGCTTAAAATAGCAACAAAGTGTTTGGGAAGGATGTGGCTAATGAACGCATAGTACATTGATGGTTTGAGAAGTTCCGTTCTGGTGATTTTAATCTTGAAAATGAGCCATGTGGGCGACCTGAGACCAGGTGGATAAAGATGAGCTGAAAGCTGTAGTGGAAGCGAATCCATCTCAACTGACATGTGAATTAGCAGCAAAGTTTGATATTACTATTCCAACAATATTGGATGATTTGAAACAAATCGGCAAGGTAAAGAAGCTGGATAGATGGGTTCCATGTGAATTAAACGAGCATCAGAAGAGAAATTGTCTTGAAGCTTCCCTTTCTTTGCAATCATGACATAAAGGTGAACTGTTTCTACACTGTATTATTATGTGTGATGAAAATGGATTCTTTTTTGACGGCTGCAAGCATTTGGCACAATGGTTGGATAAAGATGAAGTGCCAAAACACAGTCCAAAATGGAATATTCTTCGAAAAAAGCTAATGGTGTCTGTCTTGTGGTTCAGCACTGGTATTATCCACTATAGTTTCATGAAACCTGGTCAGTCAATGACAGCGGATGTCTGCTGCAACCAATCGGATGAAACAATGAGGATGCTTGCCATTAAGTAGCCGAGATTGGTCAACAGAGACAGGCCAATCCTCTTGTCAGATAATGTCATCCAAACAATGCTGCTCAAACTACAGAGGGCTGGACTTGGAAATTCTCTGTCATCCACTGTATTCACCGGACCTTGCACCAACTGACTACCACTTTTTTCAGGCTTTGGACCACTTCTTGCAAGGAAAAATATTC